AGATTCTCTCTCCCCCTCAGCCCCTCTCCCCTGCTCATGCGTGTGCGCACCCTCTCTCTCTGTCAGATAAATTAAAAAAAAAAAAGTTCTCATGATCACATCATAGAAGTAGCTGTTGTCAAGTTTCGATGTTTTGATAGGGTTAAATTGAATTGAAATACTTTTGGTTCTCAAACAGGACATACTGTGTCATTTTGAATTTGTTGACAAATCATTTTTAATTTTTCCTAGTTCTATTTTACTTCTTCTATTTAAAGGTAAATTAAAATGTGTGTCACTTTAGTGAATGGGAAAAAGTATTTTAAAAATCACCAAAGATTATGGCAAGGTGGACTTTATGATAGAAACTTTAATGATTCCCTTTTATTTTCTCATAACTTTTTTGTGATTTAGCTAAATATTGCTGAATGGTTTGGAAATGTTGCTGAGAAGGGGTCCCAGAGCTCAAGCTGGGGAGGGGACAAGAGAGACACTGGGTCTCTGTGGCCTCTTCCGGCTCTGATCTGTGGCCGTTCTGCAGTCTGCCATGAATTATGATACGACGCTGACTAGGAACCAGAACTTAGATGCTGCATCCCAGACCCTCCAGGTGCTCAGTTTCTTGTTTTTGCTTTTTTCTGGTAGGTTTTTGGTTCCATCAGTAGTTTGCAATAATGGAAACCTTAAAACAAAGCAAATCACCTAAAACTTCTTGCCTTGTGAACTTAGGAGTTTGTTAGCCTTTTTAATATAAAGTGTAAATCGACTTCTGTTTTTGAGGATCTGCCTTGCAGAATTCTGCTGATTTTGCATGGTTTTTCCAGGCCCTTCTGCGTGCTGAGAGGGTTTCTCTGGGCCTGCACTTCCTCGAGGTCGGAAGGGGCAACACTTAGCATTAATTTTGGGGAGTTCCTGAATGTAAGCATGACGGGGCAGGGGCAGCCTGTGAACCCCACCGGCAGGGGTGAAAATACCTTCTCCCCACAGGCTTCCGGGGGAGCCCTGGCAGCAGATTCTGATTTCAGCTCTAGTCCTGCTACTCACGAGTGAGTGACCTGGGGCTCGTTGCTGGATCTGTCTGTTTCTGAATCCTTGTTTGCCAAATGCAGGGATTTCTTCTAACCTAATGAGAATTCTCCTCCTTCCTCCTTCCTAAAACCGACCACCTTTACCATGCCCTCACGTGTTAGAAGCCACATACAGTGGAGGTGGACCATGAAGCTCACCGTGATCTTGCCCTGAAGTCATAATTTCTAGGAGCCCTTGAGTGACTTCCTGCACTACCCTGAGATTCTCTGCGTGTAGCGACTGCTCAGTGCAGAGATTGCCACCGATGATGTGCTTCGTGCCTTCGGTGAGGGAGTCTGGGAAAACCATCAGAACCCGCAGGCGATGGCCGCCATGGGTGTCTACAAAAGGCTTGACAGTGTAGGGCGCACTTTCCACAGACGTGATCTCCTGTGGTCCTATTCTGTAGGGTTAGACATTTTGTCTCTCCAGGCACATGTAGACCTTATTTCAAAAGTTAAAGAATGGGGGGAGGGTACTTACAGTGTAACTTGGTTAATCGGCTTGCATTTAACGTAAGCTTTATGTCAGTGGTGACAAATGGGCCTAAGGATCCAATGTGGAGGAAGAGCAGAGGGGACAAGCAGACACCTGCTGTGCATGCGTGTTCGTGCATGTGTGTGGATGCTGCACATGTATCCGACACAGGTGCACACACGTGTAAATACGTATGCAGTCACACGCATGCACACTGCTGCCTCCCAGCATTACTGAAGAGCAGAGTTTCCAAACCTCACCTTGCTCTTCCTGGAGAGAGAATTAAAACTCAGACTACCAGGCCCCACCCCCAGAGTTTCTGATCCTACAGATTTGGGGTGGGGCCCAGAATTGGCTGTTCTAGCACCTTCCCAGGGATGCTCCTGCTGCTGCTGATCAGGGGACGCCACTGCGAACATTGCTTAAGGGCATCCTCACCGTTCCTGGATTAATAAATCCCTGCTGATAACTTCCTAAGAGTGGGAATCAGTTCAGGTAAAACACAGCCTCTGTGATCTGTGGTGATGACTTGGAATTTGGTTCCAATTGGGAATCCATGGCATCTTCATTTCCTGGGCCTGTCTCTCCGGGCCCGGGCCACGCGGCCCTGACCACCTCTCCTGCGGCTTTCCCCCCGTCCCTCAGGCTGCACGCTTCCTGGCGTCCTGCCCTCCAGCTCACCCCATTTTCTGCCCTATTCAAGACGTTGTTAAGTCCATGCAAGGACTTTACACTTCAGCTGTTATGTGCTTCACTTCCGGAATCTCTGTTTGGTTCCTTTCTGTTGTTCAAATTTCTCTGCTTCTGTTGGGAAGGGGGCCTCTATGTGCCCCTCCCTGGCTGGGCGGGCGTGTGGTCTTTCTCTGGTTGTCTGCTGGGAAGCCGGGAGCTGGCCTGGATGCTTGAAAAGACGCCGAATGATAAGATGCGACCATATATGTAAGTTTAGATGTTGCAGAAGTTTCACTAGAAATTGGAAGCAGGTTAATTTTACCAACGTTATTTAGCTGTGTATCAGACACGCTCATATTTCAGTGTGTAGTCTACGTGTGCCGGTGTGTTAAAAGGCACTGAACGCCGCTTCCCCCCGAGGTCGTTCAGATCTGGCGTGGGTCTCCCTGGACCCCAGGTCTCTGTGAGGCCCGGCCCGCTCAGGCGCTCTGAGCTCGTGCGCGGTGGCCGCGGGGTGCGCGGCGGCCTCTCTGCAGGCGTCCCCCGGGGCTCCTGGCATGGGCCGCACACCCGCGGGCTGGCCTTGGCGCGTCAGGAGGTGGCCAAGTCCTCTGTCCCTCAGCGGCTTGCGTTCCAGACTCCACGAGGTTTCCGTGTTGCTCCCCTCTGTGTCAGAGGCGTCAGAAGCTGCGTGAGCCCACGCCACCGTCCTTCCTGAGGACTTGAGGCCTGGCGTCTTGGTTGGACGATGTCCCGACCGGTTCTGCTGCGCGTAGCGCATGGCCCTTCACGTTCCAGGGCATGCCTTCTCCACGTTGGCCCCGGGGCGTCTGTCCAAGTCCTGGGAAAGCTTGTGTTTGTTACATGCGAGGAGACAGCTTCCCCACCACCTGTGTTTACACTAAAGCCCAGCTAGCCAGTCTTTGCTCATTAACCACGACCCCACATTCCACACGGGGGACGACGGGGCCTCTGGACGCACGTGCCCTCCCCTTGGGGACCTGGCTTCAGCACCTCCCCAGTGGACACACCTTTAATGTCCTTAGTGTGCATGTAGATCAATTTCTCCTTAAAAGCCACACGTCAGTGCAGGGGAGGTGCGTTCCCGGAAGAGCATGCTGGTGGCTCTCGGGAACCAGGGAGAGCCCCCGGGGTGAGGGCCAGGTCGGCTGCCCAGGGCAGGTGGAGACCGATGTCTGGGGACTCTGCTACCCTGAAACCCGACCCAGAGCCAGGACGCAGATGCCCCAATGTTCCATGTTTCATGTGCTCACTCCTAAGTCAACACAATTCATTTTAGCGACTTAAATACTTTCTGAAAAGCCTTTTATCGCACCATAGACTAGAACCAATTCTGTACATCATTTATGACTCTTAAATTGGCTCAAAATAATCAGATTCCTAAAAAGTTCATGAACATGTCAGGAGAGAAGTGTCGTTCCTGATTTAGACCAAGTGTTGCTCCAGGAGCCTGTGTGGGTTTCCTGGGACGCCTGCGCCGAGCCCCGCACACGGAGCTCCCGCAGAAGCACAGAGGCTCGCGGCTCTGGAGGCAGAAGGCCCGAGATCAGGCCTGGGTCCTTCCGGGGTGCTGGGCAAGAATCGCCCCGTCTCCCACAGCCCCCAGCCTTTGCTGGCTTGTGGTGGAACTGCAGGAGTCCTCATGCGGCCCTCTCCCCGTGTGCCTGTCTCCAAATTTCCCCCTTCTTTAAGGACACCACTCATACTGGAGTAGGGCCGTCCTCATACTGTGTTGATCTTGTTTTGACTGGCTGATCTCTGCAAAGACTTTCCAAATCAGGTCCATTCTGAGGCACTGGAGTCGGATTTCATGTGAATGGGGGTCTCCCCGTTGATCCCACGATAATCCTGCTGCACTGTTACAGGGCTTGGGCCTGTGAGCAAGGCATCTTAATTTTTCTAAGACTCTGTGGTAAAGAAAGTGGCCTTTCATTTACTTTTCTGTGACTTTCATAAACATTACAATTATAACTATAAATTATAGGTTTTAATTGAATTTATATATCTTATATTTTTTACTTTAATCTAATTGATGGGTTTTAATTCAGAGGGTGGAAATGGACATCTGCATGCCTTCTGCCCCCAAGCTCATGGCCCCAGGGCCGAGTCTGCGCCTGTCCCGCGGAGGGGCCGCCCCACCAGCTGCCCTGCCCTTCCCCCACAGCGCCGGCAGCCTCTGTGGACGTGGCCTCGCGCTCTGCTCTCTCCTGGGCTGCTCAGGTCGTCCCTCTGTTCCTGAAACATCAGGAACTGTTCTCCCAGCACACATTTAACTATTTAAGCTGCCTGGAAGTACTGAGTTAAGATCCACGCTGCACGCGTGCATCTTTCCAGTTCACGGACGCTGGGTCTGAACTCGTCCCTGAGAGGACACTGTGGGCAGTTCGCAGATGAACCGCCGAATTCCAGCTCGAGAAGTTGTTGGAGTGGGTGCCGGGGCGACTCCGTGGAGTATGTGTGGGTCGATCCTGTGTCTGGGGAAGGCTTGAAGACCTTAGGTTTGGCAGAAGATGGGTGTAGGGTTAGAGTAAGTTTTTATCTCCCCGTAGGTGTTGTTTAAACAAACTTCTGTAATGTGATATGGCTGCCCTGTCATGCAGATAAATATTCATTTATCATTATGCAGTTAGCCTCACTGAAGAGATAATTGGTCCCACGAATGAGCTGTGAGGTTAATTCCTTAAATGTCTTATCGTCGTGCTGGAACTGAGATGACACAGGACCAGTGATGACTGCGTATTTCTCTATATAAATGCATTTCTTGTTTTGTTTTTTTTCCCCAGGGATCTTCGCTTTAACAGAATCAGAGAGATCCAGCCTGGGGCATTCAGGAAGCTGAGAAACTTGAATACGTTGTAAGTCCAAACATTCTATTGGGACCCAGTAGGAAACAAGTACGGAAATCATCACACCTTTCAGCTGTGGTCAGCCCTGATTATCCGTGGTCAGGGGCATGAATGAGGAGAGTGGACTTGGGACCCTAGAACAGAATATGCGCGTTAAGATGCCAGGCCTGTGGATCCTGTGCTTGGCTGCCGTCCTGTTTTGTCTGACATCCGTGGACCTGTGTGGGTCCCTCATAAGTGGCTTGACCCAGACCAATGGCCACGTGATCCCCTTCTCTTCCTGTGAGTAGTAACTCAGTCCCCAGCTGGGCCAGATCCGTTCACTTGTGCTAACTAGTTCACACGCCCCATCGGAAGGAGGACGGGCCTGGGCTTCTCCTGGGTAGCTGGACCCAGGAGGATTGGGGTGCCATCCCGTTGTGCACCCATGCTTAGTCCTCAAGGACGGACAGACGAAGGGAATGGGCCTGACTGGCGCTGAGAGGTTCTGCGGCTGACCTGGGCTGCTGTCGAGTATGCTGAGCTTGTCAGGAGGCTGGTGTCTCTGGTTCTTCTGCTCCGGAGGGCGGCTGTGGGCACAGGGGGATAGGCAGGGCCCTGGGAGCCTGGGGGCGGTCCGACCCTGGTGAGAACCACCTGCACTGGCCTTCCACTCCGCTGAGGTGGACAGTCCGACAGACAGGAGGACAGATAGCTACGCCTCTGCGTCGGAGAAGGAATTTGGTCGGTGTGCATACGGAGGGGATTGGTGTGCGGTGACAGGGACGCCCGTGCCCTGAGGACACGCGTCATCACAGGGTGAGCGCTGAAACGCTCCCGTGTGAATGTAGCGCTCGGCCAGTGTCGGGGCTGAGCTCTGTACCCGAATCGTCTTAGGACCTTTTCCAACCGGTAGGAATGTGTTCCCACAATGGGTTCAGAGGGGTGCTGGTTGTAATTCATACTCAGACTTTCTCTCGCAGGCTTCTCAACAATAACCAGATCAAGAGCATACCTAGCGGAGCATTCGAAGACCTGGAGAACTTAAAATATCTGTAAGTGAACGATCAGTCCTTTTCCCCCAAAGCTTGTGTTGTTTGTATATCGACTGTTTAATCATTGAGCTGAATTTTTTGCAGCTTGCAAATTAATATAAGTACATCCGTCTCTTAGGGTCCATTTTCAGAAGGTGACTGAATTTTTGACTGGGATTTTTAAAATGAGTTAAAACTGCGCTGCGTGATGCTTAGTGTGTGTGTCTTCAGCCGTAAGTAAAGTAGGTGGAATGAGATTAAAGCCACAGCCCTGGAAGGTGGTGCGGGAGCAGGTGACTGGCGGCCCCTCTCTGGTGTGCGCGCCGGGCGGACGTGCCAGGAGATGGAAGCACGGTTTCCAGAGGCCTCTCCCGCTGGGGGCGAAGTGTGAGAATTTCACTCGTCTGCTAATTTCCCAGTCTTCCTCTGAGTGATTTCACCTCTTCTTATTTTTAGGTAGTAAAATTGTAGTTTGCTTTTTAAAACTGATTTTAGTTAATTAAGAGCATTTAAAAACATGAGTTTTGCAGGTTAAAAGATGACCTCGCGGGCAAGGGCCGGCTTAATACCTCTGCAAGCACTTATTTTAGGACTGGAAGCCGTAAGGCAGACATTCCAGTTACATTCCTGGTTATAGATAAAAGTACGTGTCTTGTGCTTTGAGCAAATTATTCTTTTAAGACTTCGATGACCTTTCAAAGAGAACCATTTTAATGAGGGATTTAGATCAGTGACTTTTTTGGGAAATTTATGTCATAAGTGAACCTGAATGTCTATAAGTCATGTTGATTTTTAAAATAAAGTCACATTGTTAGATGTGTGTTTTGAAACCTCTATGATTTTAGATGTCATTGGTTCTTAACTAAGTGATCACTTTACTGTGTTTATAGAAATATATATTCCTCAGTGAAAGTAATCGAAACTGTTAGGTATAAATATTTTTCCATCACTTTTGGCATACTTTGTTAATTTTTCAATAGAATAGAATAGAATAGAATAACGTATGAAAATTATTAAGCCTTGTTGCTCATTTTAAAAATGAGGAAAAGGCCTTCTATTTACTCTTGAGTTTTTATTTATTTGATTTGTTTTTAAATTTTAAGTTCTATACAAGTTCCAGAAGAAAGGTTTTGGTTTCTTAGAAAGCAGGTTCAGTTAGGAGATAACCAGCATCTGTAGTTTGTGTGTGGGTCACTTTGTTTTTTATTTTGTATTTTGCTTTTGGTTTGAATTAATTAAGAGCAACTTATTATTTAACCTGCAAACATATTTAGTGTGAAATAGTTTGGGATACCTTGTTTTTCACTTAAAATGATTTTTTTAAAGTAATACTTAATAAGCCTCGCCTGCTGGCTGGCTCCCCATCGAGGCACCTGCGCCCCAGCCTCACCTTCCCCCCCCATTTCCACGATGCCCACTGGTGGAGGGCACCTGGTCATCACTGGGGAGGGGTTGGGCAGTGGTCAGCAGGACAGGGGGTAAGGGCCCTGGTGAGGAGGGACCCCAGGAGCAGGGGTGAGAAGGGGTCCCACTTCCCCATTTGATCCCCGTCCTTGGCAGGAGAGGGCACTGTGTGCAATTTAAACATTTGAGAGCTCTCATGAAGTTTACTGATTATTTCTGCCTTTATATTTAGTCCATGCTTTTAGAAGTTGAGTCCTGGTTATCTGCTGGAACCCTAGTTACTTGTGGGAAGGTGTAAACCTTCCCCTTAACTGATATTTCCAAAGGATGCGATTAAGTCCGGGGAGGGGCCTCCTGTTCAAAGTGGACTCTGTGGTGGAGTAGAGTACTCTTTAGAACCCATTATCGGAAGATGGACCCTTTATTCTTACGAAGACAGAGGGTGCTCCCATGTCCTCTAAACACACGTTCTTCCGTATCAGCAGGGCTCAGTTGTCTCGCACTCCCGTTGTCTTTAAAGTGTGTGCCAAGTGACGATGCACCAGCAGGCCGTTGCCCTGTTGTGTTAGAGAAGTGAGCCCAGAAACCCTGTTTGTAATAATGGGGGAGCAGGAGCTCCCTCCAGAACTGAAGTTGCCAGTGGCCAGGCCGTATTCTTTTAGCTTTCGAAATACTAAATTTCGGTGATCCTGAGGGGCTGCTCTCTCCACTTTACACAGGAAGAGACTGAGGCACAGAGAGCCTAATACCGTCTTCAAGAGCACACAGCTAGTGGGTGCAGTTGGAGGATTCACACCCACGCGGCCTGGCGAAGTGCCTGCTGCGTCAGGCCTCTGTTGTGGGCACCGGGCTCTGGACCGGCGGGTGAGCGCCGCCTGTTCGTGCCACGGCTCGCAGCTCTCCGCGGGGTCACCGCAGCTGATTTGTGCAGAGGGAGAGATGACAGCCATTTAGCGGGATGGTGGCAGTTAGAGACGGTGTAGCGGGTCCTGTGAAACAAGCCTGCCCCGAATACCGTGAGCTAAAGTGCGGTGGTGCACACTGTCCTGGGAACGCAGCGTGCAGGGGCACGGCATTAAGACAGAGCAGGTGTATTTGCGGAAGCAAGCAGGTAGAAGCCCAGCCAGCCGGTGTCGGGGTGCAGAGAAGTGCCTGCTGACGTCACGGTGGGGACGGCGTGGAGTTTGAGGTCATCGGCTGGGGAGAAGCGCCAAGGGCTCACGTCTCTGCACCTGACACAAATCACGTCTGATGCACCATGACGTTGGCGGGGTTCACGAGATCTGCTGCCGCAGAGACGTGTTTGTTAGGACTCTGAAGTTTAGATTTCATATAGTTTTCCCGTGTCATGAACTATTATATTAGTCTTTTGAAATTTTCAGCCAGTGAAAACCATAAAACCATTCTCAGTTTACAGACCATATAAAAACAGGCAGCAGGCCAACTCTGTGATTCTTCCAACCTGCCCTTGTTGCTTCTGTTTTGCAAGAAGGATTCTGGTGGGTGAGAACACATTTAGGCTTCGTATCATCTGCCCCCCTAGCTGTTCCTGGGTATCTTAAAACACGCAGGTTGTGGAATCTTACAGTCAATGCACATCACGTGTGTGGGGAGGTGGTTCTGTTTTCTTCAAGCTTTGGAGCACGTGCATGGTCAACAAGTCACAAGCCACACTCCAGAGCCTGTGACTTTTTGGAAGACGAGGCGGTGGTTGGAGAACCTCCCGTTTGGAGACTTTCCTTTGAGGAAGGGCCGGGAACCTCCGCGAAGGGAGCCACACCACCGTGTAAATGTTTTGTTTGTATTCTAATACAGTCATTAATTTGAAAACTCCCTCCATGTGTCAACGTAATTCTTCTTTCCATCTGAAGTTGCGGCCTCTCGTGTGTGTGCTAATGCTCCCCGTTTCTTGTTTCAGCTATCTGTACAAGAATGAGATCCAGTCAATTGACAGGCAAGCATTTAAGGGACTTGCCTCTCTAGAACAACTGTAAGTGTCCCTCTCCCGTCCTCGGCTGTCTTGGATGTCACCCGCCCTTTGCCTCTTGTAGGAAGATGAACTAAGTTTGCTGTTTGCACGATGCATGTTCGTACTAACGGGGACGTAGGGAGTGTGTGCATGCCAAAGGAAAGAGCGGTTCTGTCCGACCCCCCTCCACCCCGGAATGGACGGCACTGGTTTCTGCTGACGGCAGCCCATGCCGAGCATCCGTGACCCAAAGAACAGTGAGACCGAGTGGCCCCCACCTCCACGGTGCTCCCGATGTAAAGCAGAGACAGACTTGCGAACGAGGAAAGGTCTTCGGGAAGGGGTATCCGGGGCAGTGCGGGACGAGCAGGTTGTTTTCATTGTACCCTGTTTCCTGTTTGTGACTCCCCACATATCCAGCTAACTTTCTGCTTTTTGTCGTTATTCTGGAGAAAATGAACTTTCTTCGTGTGTTTCTAGTTAGTGTATGTTGGATGTTGTTTCTTTGGTGGCATATGAAGTCAGCGTGTTCATTTTTGAGTAGAATTCCTGGTAAGAGGAGTTTTTCTGGTTTGTTTGGGCTGAAGTGATTCCGAGGAGTTTCAGATGGCCATCCGGTTACAGTCACGGGGCTGGACAGGGCCGTGGGCTGTGACGCGTCCTGACATCTGTCTGCGTATTTCCTGGCCGGGCACAGAAGCGTCTCCGGAAGCGCAACGGCAGAGCTGGGGCGGGGGCTCCCCCGAAATCAGGCGCTTCGGAAGCACAAATGATGCTCGTGGGTCTAGGTGGGTCTTTATTCCAGTGGGACCTGCTTTGCTGAGCTCACTGTGCACGGCATGCAGTAGGACTGGGAAGCAGTTGTACGTCAGGTTTGTACGATCTCCGCTTTGGAGAGGACCAGAGTTCAGAGGGTTGCAGAAACACATGGGAGTGTCTGGAAAACATCCAGTGGATGGAGAGTCTACAAAGGATGGAGTTCTTGCATCTGACACGCTTCTCCTGGGGTGGGAGCAGTAAGATAGTCATAGCCAACACCCAGAAAACCGTGTCTGATTTAAACCTGCTGAAAAAATTAGAACCAGGTGGTGCTTACCCTGATGAGGCGGGAGTCGGTTTATCTTTGCGGAGAAAAGAGGCAGAGTCTAGGGAGAAGTGAGGCTCCACTGCACCAGGAGCCTGGAGCAGGGTGTCTGACTAAGCGTCCTGGGTCAGGATGCCTTCAAAACCCCGGGTTGGGTAGTTAGGGTCTGGGCCACTGAGACGTGGCTCTCCTTCCGTGAAGGTCGGTGGGTGTCTGACGGGACGCAGAGACACTTAGGACCAGGTCCCCGCCCGCAGGGAGGGTGCTGTGTGAGGAGATGAGGCTGTTCCTGGTGGGTGTGCATGGTGCCGTGGCCCGGGGGTGGCTCCTGCCCGGGCTCCCCCTCCCCACGCCAGGAGCCCCTCCACGCCCTCCGGAGGCTGCCAGCCCGAAGCTGCTGGGAGTCGGTGGAGCCTGGGCTCCAGCGGGCTCCGGGAGGCCCTCCTTGTCCTGTGTGGTGAACATGTGACCAGAGTCAGAGAGCGTAGATTGGCGTTGGGACCCATGGCCACCTTGGGGCCGTGGGAGGGTGGTGGCACCCAGGCTGCCTGGAGCTGTGGGAACTTGGCCTGAGCTCGCGGGCCCAGCCCTGTGTCTGTGGGCAACAGGAACACGCCTCAGTGAATCAGGACCAACAGGCCCTCCCTCCTCCCCGGACGCCTCCCCAGGGCCCAGCCTGCCTGCTAACGAGGGTCTCCTTCAGGCTTCTCCCGTGACGGCCGCTCAGTGCGGATTTTCCCCCATTTGGGCTCCCGTGCACCCTGCTCCCAGGCTTCCCACCCTGGAGTGGAGGTCGATGGGCAGGGACCTGTCTTCGGGAGGCACGGGAGGCAAGTGTGGGTCTGACCTGAGCTCTGGGCTCTGCAGCTGCGTCTGCGACCTCCTGACTCGGGGTCACCGCAGCGCCCTCCCGGGGAGCTGGGCCAGGGAGACAGGGACGGGCTAGGAAGGGCAACTGAACTTGGGTGACCTTGAAGTTCCAGTAACTTCAATGTTAGTGAAGGTCCCTAAGGGGTCCAGGGCGCGTTTCGAGAACGCTGTCTGTCTGGTGTTTGGGTTCGTGATGAAACCTGTAATCGCTCGCGTCTGTCCCTGTCTCTCTGCCGGGCCCCACGTGAGCGAGCCGTGGAGGGCGGAGACCTCTCTTCTCCTCGTGTGGGTGGGGGGTTCGCTGCAGAAGCATCCCCATCACAAGGCCACGTCCAAGTCCGTGTCCATTGTTTCACCTAAGGGGAAAAACACTGATTTTCACAGTGAGAAAAGCAATATTCAGGAAAATGAGGAGAAATTAATTGTACCAAAAAATGTATGAATATATGGAAAGTAAGGAAACATAGCAAAAGAAGTGTGAACACTGTATATTCGTATAATTGAGCACGTTTGAGGAAACACAGGATCTTACTCTTCATCATTTCTGTGGCTAATCCTATGCTCAGTCTGAAATTGAAGTGTAAGTTCATCCCCCCCTAAATTCACATAGAGGTTAGAAGACTGAATGAAGGTATTCGTCTACTTACCTATGTGCTGTAGGGAAGGTTACATGGACTTTTTTCCTGCAAAGGCCCACGTACTGCACGGAGGTCACGGCCACGTGGTCAGGTCCCGGGCATGGAGGGGCCTCGGTCAGAGTCACCGACAACTGGTCAGTCGTACGGTCTGTGCCGTTTTTAATTGTATTTAATCTTAGTATTTGATGATTTCACTTGTTTTCCACACAATGTAGGAAATCTAGAGAGTTATTGACATATGAATTTGAAAGGACTTAGGAAACATTTTTTTGAGCAGGAAATCTAAATCTGCAAAAAGTAAAACTGTTAAAAGCTCTTTCTTTCTTTTCTCTCTCTCCCTCTTTTTTTACACTTATCTAGATATCTGCACTTTAATCAGATAGAAACTCTGGATCCAGAGTCATTCCGACATTTGCCGAAGCTAGAAAGGCTGTAAGTTGCATTTCCTCCCACCCACCCGTGTCCGCCCGCGGTCCTGGGCCATCGCCCCGTCCAGGTTCTGCAGGAGACAGGAGGCTGTTCAAGCCTCCAAGAACTGGCCGTGCAAAGTCCCTGCTCCTTGTCTCACAATTCAGAGGCGGGACTGGCAATTGTCTCTTTGGGAATGGTGATAAAATAGAAAAAACACCCTAGTTCTTTTCTGGGCTAAATAACATTCTCAGATTCATTTGTAGGAAATAATGGAATCACTGAGTAATTTTTAAAAGCTGATTTATTTGACTGTTGATACTGTTTTCTACACATATAAGAAGCATTTTTAAAAATTTGGTTTGTTGTATTGTCTCTTTCGACAGATTTTTACATAACAACCGAATCACACATTTGGTTCCAGGAACATTCGATCACTTGGAATCCATGAAAAGACTGTGAGTATGTGTTCAGCACAGCCCCGTGTCCCCGCGGCCGTCCACCGGTCCTTTGCTGGGCTGTGGAGCGTGGGTCCCTCTCAGGAAGGGGCAGGAGGCCCTGAACCCTTGGAGCTGGCGCAGCTCGGAGCCCCGGTGACTCGGGGACAGAGCCAGCAGACCGACCGTTTCATAGGCGAGCAAGACATTGTTAAAGTCAGTTTTAAATTCTTCAGATTAATTTTTAATCCCATTTTGCCTATTTTAGTGGTGGGATTAAGATCCTTGGAGAAGGACTCTACCCTGTTCCCTGTACTAAGCGTTCCCACAGCTAGACGTTAAGTACGCTGACCTCCAAATTCTCCAGGCCTCTAAAAATACTTCTTCTTATACCGAGTACTTAACTTTACTAGAATAAAGGTATGTGAGTGCCGGCGGAGACAGTTACCGGACGCCTTCTGGTGCTTCCTGTGCTTTGCCCTGTGGCCGCGGGGCTGCTCTGCGGCTGGCCATCCGTCCCCGTCCCGTCCCCGAGGGTGTGAGAGGGGCTTGATGTCAGGAAGTGGAAAATCAGGCTAGGAAGTGTAGTTTCCGCGCAGGATACAGTGAACCGAGACAGCCTTCCTCGCTGTTCAGGATTCCTTCTGATAAGGCCGTCAGCCGCCGCACTGAGAACGGCGATGTGGGGCCAGGGGTGCGTGGGCCCGGGCCCGTGTGCTCGACCCCACGTCTTCCTGTCTTCCTCCCGTCAGGCGGCTGGACTCCAACGCGCTTCACTGTGACTGTGAAATCCTGTGGCTGGCGGATCTGCTGAAGACCTACGCCCAGTCGGGGAATGCGCAGGCGGCGGCCACCTGTGAATATCCTCGACGCATCCAGGGGCGCTCGGTGGCCACCATCACCCCCGAAGAGCTGGACTGTGGTGAGTGAGCAGGACGGAGGGAGGCGTCCGGAGGGCGCGGCATGGGCAGGGCCTGCCTTCCGTGTCGGTGTCCCCAGATCGCGTCTTGGTGGGACCCGACAGGGCGCTCCTTGGCAGAGCCGTCTGTACGAGCATCTGTAAGCAACTGTTGGGTTCCTCGGCTTTCGCCTCCAGTTCCTGGAACGCACTGCGTCTCCCGCTCCCCCCATGGCTGCAGCTGCTGGGCCCGACTCCCGGGTGCTCGCGGGGCGGGGCCCGTGGGGCTGGCAGCGGTCTGCCTCTGGGCTCGGTCCATGCCGCCCAGAGCCTCTGCCCGCTGGGCCATGCACACGAGCTGCACTGAGAAACCGGTCGCGAGAAAAAGGAGCAAAATCCGACGGCAGGGCAGAATCTTGCTTAGAGTGCCCAAGGACTCCTTCGCTCATTATTTTCATTGCAGCACTTTTTGGGGGTGCTAAAATTAGTTTCTCTAAAGCATCGTCGTTTTTAAGTCTTAAAGGTCTGTGTCCTGGAAGCTAGAAGTCCGTAGCTTTCAGCAGTCTCCCGCCCGGGACACGGATCTCCTGTCCGCATCTGGATGCCTTCATCAGCCGTAGACGTGTGTGCTTTGCTGTGCACGCAGCTGCCTCGGGGTGCGCTGTCGGGGGCCCTGTCCTGTGTGAGCCCATCCTGCTGCCGGGCACGGCGGGTTTCCGGCTGTCGGGGGCCACGCTATGCAGGAGCAGGGATACTGGGCGGTGGGACTTCGGGGACAGGACTGGTTCCTGGGACAGAGGCTGGGGCTGTGCGCTCGGCCACCCCTGAGTCTAAACCTGCCCCACACGGCAGATTCCCCCGGTCCAGCCCGGGGTGTCCTCGTCTGGTGTCCGCTCCCTCCTCGGGGCACAAGCCACCCGGGCTCCCACTCACCAGCCGGCTCTGACTTTACCCATCGGGACCAGGCTCGGGCGCCGCGGGTGTTCTGTCTGCCTCCCCGGCACTGTGGTCGTGGAGAAAGAGAATGTGCAGCACCCACAGGTCCGCAGACTGGAGGAGGCAGCTTGTCTGGCCCGGGGCCGTGGGAGGGGACGCACCCCCGGGGGACGAAGGACGAGGGCTCTGCTGCCCTGCCCTGCATGGTAGAGCTTTCTGCTCTCAGCGTTGCTGTAGCTAAAAAGCATCATTTTCTATTTACTCAAGAACAGCTTTTCACGGAGTGTGCCCTGCACACAGGTCCCTCACCCTCTTGAAGGGTGAGCAACCACTGGGCCTTGTTGGGTGCGTGTCTCCACCCAGGCTCTTAGAGGTGGATCTGAGGGTCAGAAAACGCTGGGTAAGGACTCAGCCTGTCTGTGCGGAGAAGCCTGTCTGTCCTTGTGGGAGCATTTGTGCTTGGGATATATGTTTGTTTGGGATTTTCTTGTGAATGTGAGGGATTTGGTTTGGGGTCTTGTTTACTTTTATGGGACCATTTAAGACCCAGAAGATCTCCATTTCCTTCTTGGCACAGAAAGGCCCCGGATCACATCGGAGCCCCAGGATGCAGACGTCACCTCAGGGAACACCGTGTTCTTCACGTGCAGAGCAGAAGGCAACCCCAAGCCCGAGATCATCTGGCTGCGAAACAAGTAAGTCGGGTGCTGGCCAGGGGTGCTCCCTGTCCCCCAGATGCCCTGTGGGCTCCGCTGTGCATGGCCCCACCCGACACCTACAGACGCCCCTTGACACTTTTGTCCTCTGCTGTGGAGGGAAAGGTCTAAAGGAGAGAATTTTCTGCATCTTTTCTGCTGTAAAGGGGGGGCACTTTGCTCCCCCTGCCAGGGGTGAGGAGTGGGGGGGGCATCTTGGTTCTTGACCTGCCCACGTTCTGTGGCTGGAAACTGGCGGGTCTGGGCACTGGGGCTCCGCAGCTGGAACACTGGGACCAGACCTCCTGGCTAAGGAGGGGTCCTACCTGCTGGGGACAGCGTCTTCAGGGACGCCCATCAAGCCAACACTTACGTACTTAGCTCCTTGCGCATCTGATTTGCCTCAGGAAACACGAGTCTCCCCGTTGATCCACAAGCATTTTGGGTGTGTGGGGGCAGAGGTGTAGGAGGAGGGTGCTCCAGGGGTCAGCCCCCCAAGGGCCCTGTGTTAACGAGGACACTTTTGGGCGTACGGTGAGAACTGACTCCTCAGAAAGAAACTGTTAACCCGAAAGCACCTTGTCGTGGCTCCTGTGCCCGTTCTCACGGGGACACGGACAGACACTCGCTTGTCGGTGGATCTCAGCTCTCAACACTTACACTCTGAGCTCGCGGGCCGTGTTTGGTCATGACCGGGCGAGGAGGATGCCCCCCCAGCCATCGTCCCGCCCAGCGCTGGGCTGGTGAGTCCAGCAGCGTTCCCAGGGAGGACGAGTGGAACAGGGAGCTTGGCATCAGGAGCCGTCAGGTGCAGGAGGGGAAGACACCTTCCTGCCTGGGTTTGTTGCCATGACTTGGGCCCAGCGCTGCGCAGGGACGGACAGATGCTGGCCCAGCCTTCAGATGACCTGTTACCTTGGATGACTCTGGACTTGTTGAGATTTAAAATCCGGAGTTAACATAAGAGGAATAAGTATGTATTTAAAAGACAGAAAAGCATCGATTCGGCTGAGCCCTTTACACCTGCTTCCATAAATAAACACATTGATAGCAGAAGTTAAAATGTCAGAGCCAAACAGAGCAGAGTGAAAGCCCAAAAGCCCTGGGCCTGAAGTCTGGTGCCGGGCTCTCCCTCCACTTGCCAGCCTCTCTATGGGCCTGGCTCACCTGCTGACCTTACTTCACCTGGGGGTCTGCCTCACCTGCTGGCCAGCCTCACCTGCTGGTCAGTCTCACCTGGGGATCTGCCTCACTGGGGGCCTGACTCACCTGGGGGCCTGGCTCACCTGCTGACCTGCCTCACCTGCTGGTCAGTCTCACCTGGGAGCCTGCCTCACCTGTGGGCCTGCCCCATTATCTTGAATGAATTTGCCAGAAACCAAGGAAAATGTTTCCTTTGAATTTTTCCCACTATGTTCCTTTTTCCCCTTTGGCAAGAGGACTACTTTAAAACTTTAAAATCTTATAGATTGAACATGTAAATAATAAAATAAGTTGATGAATTAGAGATGTGGTGGGTCAGCACTTTTTCTAGAAGTACTGACTAAGCTGGAGTCTGTGTGGTAGGACAGTTTCCTGGACAGGCCAGGTGCCCTGCCCCCAGGTGCCAGGTGCTCAGGGGCTCTTCCTGTGTGGCTCTGGTGTGTCCCGTGCTTCAAGAACCTGAGTACCAGACTTCTGTCTTTGTAGTAATGAGCTGAGCATGAAGACAGATTCCCGCCTCAACTTGCTGGACGACGGGACCTTGATGATCCAAAACACACAGGAGACGGACCAGGGGATTTACCAGTGCATGGCCAAAAATGTGGCCGGGCAGGTGAAGACACAGGAGGTCACCCTCAGGTACTTTGGGTCTCCAGGTACGTGCAGAAGATGGCATACGAGCCTCCCCCAGAACGGCCCTTGCTCCCCACGCCCAGCTGGGTAGGGATGCGGGCAGGATGTGGGCGGGACGTGGGCAGGACCAGGGTAGGGACGCGGGTGGGATGTGGGTGGGACTTGGGTGCAGCGGTCTACAACCAAGCACCCTCAGCCACAGCCTTGCAGGCATGGTCCTAGGTCACCCGCAACCTTTGCTCTGCCTTAAAAAAAAAAAAAAGGACACGGACTGATATTTTCTTGAAGGAGTCCATTTGTATGTGCTGCCATGAGCAGTATGTTTAGATTTGCACGTTCTGCATCTTACTTGAGACCGTTTGTCCAGTCTTTTCTGAGTTCCGAGCCTTCCTTTGGCATAATTACCGTCCTTCTTCCATTTCCCGCTTCCAGTTTGGAAGTCACACGGCGTCCTTTGTGCTGGTGGTTGGCCTACCGCGTTCTTAGGTTATCAGAGTCAAAGTTACCCCCTTCTGCTGTGTCCAGGATGGGCTGAGTTCTGTTTTCCCAGTGTGTGAAACACTCATTAGCGCCTGGCCGTGATGTCTTTCCCACTTTCGAATCCCGTTGTTTCTTTCTGCGTCTCTGCTGTTCTGTGGCGCCATGTCCTTTCCGCCCAGTGGCGTGGGGGTCGGGCCGCATCCCCACGCGAGGACCAGCTTTCGGTTGACAAAGCCTGGAGTGAGATTCACTTCTCCCTCCACTGATTTTGGCTGTCTGTCACCGAGGGGCAGCTCGTGGGTCAGCCGGACTCGGAGCTTCCTGGGTGGCGTCGTGTTGGGCCTCGCCTTGGCCTGTCGTGATGCCGCTTCTCATGTGTCGGCTTGAGCACGTGTCCTCCCGGTGGGCTTTCACGTTGGGGTTCTTGTCCCTGCCAACAGCTTCATGCTTTAGCTTGCCATGCTCCGGAAATGCTACTATTAGGATCATTTCTGCATTTCCTATCCTCTGCTCTTCCTTAGATACGTGGGTAGCGGAGCTTCAACGTTAACCAACATGAAAGACGCAGAAATGTGTTTCCTGCTTCTTGCCTCACCCACTAAATTCCTACCTCCATCCCCACTCTCCCAAATTCCGGCCAGTGCCTCCTTCTTCATCCCTGCCTCACTGGTCTTTAGTACATGACTTCTCTTACACTTTCCTTTTCAGGGCCGCGTGGGAGTCGTTACCTGGTGGGAACGTGATCTATTTTAACTGGTTCTTTAGCAGGAATACCTGAAGGTTTCCCCCCCCAAGTCTTTTGCTATTTCAGGTCCATGTCCCTTTACCCAAAACCTCTTGGGCCTACTATCGTTTGGAAATCAGAAATCTGGGAAATTTCAGCAGGCCACCTGGTGCATGGTCTTCTGAGCCGCCTGGTGCTGCCGCGGGGTCCCGGGTCCCACCCTGTCATCACCGTCCACGGCAAACTGTGTGAATAGTCCCAGCACATGGGATAAGTGAAGACTGTAAACGCCTCATGCCAGATAGATCCAGTTTTAGAAATAAGTGATGAAAAAGTATTTTGTTTTAGGAGCATTTCTGGATTCTAGAATTGGGGAGAAGGGTGTTGGCCTGAATATGCATCACAGGAATGTTTTAAAAACCTCCCTTTTTGAGTACATACATTGCTTTCCATGTTTGTAAGCTCCTAGCGGAGTAACTTCTGGGTGAAAGGGTGCATGGACCGCGGCGGTCCCGACGTGCGCGTCTGAGCTGGCCCGCAGTGGGGACGGCAGCCGTGGACACCACCTGCTAGTGAGTTCTGTTCTGCAGACTCCCTCACAAAACTTGCATTACTAAGGGTGTGGATTTTTCTTCTGGATTCAGAGCTGAAAAGTACTATCTTAGTGTAGTTTTAATTTATATTTTTGGTTTGGGGAGGGAAATTGCTTATTTTTATATGTTCTAAATATAGTTTAAAAGCAGTGTTTTATGCCAGGAAGAACCTCTAGCCAGGTCTGACCAGACTGACCCGATGTACTTAGAATCAACAGAAGTGGGGGTTCTCCCTGGGGCTCAGGCCGCACTGAGGGAGGCAGGGGCCATCTGTGAGGCGCTGGCCGCCCGCCCCGAGCCCCGGGCCACGCTCACCCTCGCTGCTGGCACGATTTCTGACACGGGACAGAAGACGAGAGCGGGTTCTGATTCAGTCTTGTTTGCTTTACTTACTTTAAGGGCCGCAGACGGAACGAAGATAGAACAACCCAAGCAAAATGCCGTTGCTGACCTGGAGGGAATTAACGCAGAACTTGTGTTTCGTTGTGACAGCTCGACCCGCTTTTGTAATCCAGCCACAGAACACGGAGGTGCTGGTCGGGGAGAGTGTCACCCTGGAGTGCAGCGCCACGGGCCACCCTCCGCCGCGGATCACCTGGACCAAAGGGGACCGCACGCCCCTGCCCGAGGACCCTCGCGTGAGCATCACCCCATCTGGCGGCCTCTACATACAGAACGTCCTGCAGGACGACAGTGGGGAGTACACCTGCTTTGCATCCAACAGCGTGGACAGCATCCACGCCGCGGCCCTGATCATCGTCCAGGGTGGGTCAGGGCGCCCGTCCGTGCACGCGCGCAGACCCTCGCCCGGCAGCCCTCCCCGCACAGACCCCGCCCCGCCCGCCGCCCCCACCCTGCGCAGGCAGGTTGCTTCATGTTTCCAGCACGCTTCCCGCATCTCCCGTCCTGATTGGTGGTAGGTTTGTTTTCTGAACGGAGGCTTCAGGAGGCTTGTATTTCGGGGCTTTATTTCTGGCTGTTATCTGTGGCTGAGAGGACCTGTGGTGTTGAGACCTCAGCTGGGTATTTCCAGATGCCCCAGGCGACTCCATGGTGAGCTTCTTAGTTTAGAAATAAATTGCAAAGTGGGGCATTTGTGTGGAAGCTCTAGACCGGAGAAATCAGTGTCCCCTGCTCCTCTGTCTTTGCTGGCCCCTCCCGCCTGCAGGGAAGCGGCCTCACGCGCAGTCTGTTGTGAGTGCCTCCTACAGGCCCCTTCGTGCAGGTGAGCACGCGGCCCTGGCGTCTGGTCGTTCCTTCTGTACAGATGGGACCGGTCTGGATTTGGGGCTGGGACTCGGCCCCATGGTAATGAAGCAGCCCTGTCCCCACACAGCTGTAACGTGACGCTTACCCACTCCGGGTGCTCCCTGAGGTCCGACGCCAGAGGGACCTTCGGGTCTCCTGACCGCCGCGGGCGGAAGCCGGACACCTCCCCTCCATCCACACCGTCCGTGCGGTCAGCCCGCGGCGTGTCGGCACAGGCCCGGCAGGGGGCCGGGAAACACCGCTGTTTGACGCCCTTTCTGCCGTCGTGCCCTGCTCGCGGACGCTGCCCTGCTCGCAGACGCTCCCCCTGCCACGTGGGTTCTCGGTGCCCTAGCACCTGCAGGGACTGCCGACGCTGACGCTAGCTTACAGCATCTGTGCCCAGAACTGTCTTTGAAGTGTTGTTTCCGATGTTTTTCCTTCCGGAAGCTCTTCCCCAGTTCACCGTGACGCCTGCAGACAGAGCTGTGATCGAGGGTCAGACAGTCGACTTCCAGTGCGAGGCCAAGGGCTACCCACAGCCGGTCATCGCGTGGACGAAAGGAGGTGAGAGCTGGCCCGGCACTTGCTGGGACGCGCTCCACACGCGGGGGCGCGTCTGCCTGCCCTGTGCCCAGGCCCCAGCCCCCGTGAGCAGGGGTGGGGACGGTCCGCGTCTGCGTGTTCCGGCTGCAGGCCTGGCCCACGGCTACGGTGCAGGACGCGCAGAGAGGGCTGTCCTTCCCGAGGATGCGGGTGGCCTTCTGCCTTCTGTCTCCCTCGCCTCCCAGATGGTGGCTGTCTTGCCTTTAATGTACACTTAATTAACATCTTGATGAAGTTTCATAGCAGGTAGGATAGAACTTTCTGGAAACTGCCATAGCATTTGTTTGAAGCTCAGTGTCACTTCATTCTCTGGGGCTGTCACGCCGTCTCCATCCGAGGTCACACGGCTGATCACATTGATTCTTAGGGCGTGACCCCCGCCCCCCCATTCTGCTCTAGCTGGTGAGCTCCTGGCCAGGTGATGATGAAGACAGACATCCCCGAGGGCGCCGGCAGCCTGGCTGGGAAGGTTTAGGGGAGGGGAGGTGGCCTCAGGGCTCTGTCCTGGAATTGACCTTGAGGACCTGCCCAGGGGCTCTGCCTTGAACCAGAGGGCCGCTCGCCGCCTTCCTCCCCTGAGGAGCGAGCACCCTGGGTGGGCAGGTGCGTGAGCACCCAGCACCTGGACTCCGTGTCCCCGGGCAGGAGGGGCCGTGTGCTGGCACCTCAACGGGGTGTTCTGTGCTTTTGCGTAACTCCAGCCCCCCAGCCCCTCCCCAGCAGTCCCTCCCCAACGGCCCCCGGTGTCCCGGCTCCTGCATCTCTCTTGTCTGCTCCTCCTGCTTCTGGGGAGTTTCTAAGAGGCCGGGCGACTCTCTTTGTCCCCGACGTGGCGGCTCCCAGCTGGTGTGGAATGTCGCTCGGGAGGTGCCGAGCCCTGCTGCCCCTGACTCGGGCAGAGACCAGTCAGTCCCACTGTTCCGTTTGCTCTGAGAAAGTTCTGTTGCACCCGGCCTTCCTGAGTCCTAGTGGCCCACTGTGTGTCCATGCCTTTCAGGGAGCCAGCTGTCCGTGGACAGGCGGCACCTGGTGCTCTCGTCGGGAACGCTCCGGATCTCGGCTGTGGCTCTGCATGATCAGGGCCAGTATGAGTGCCAGGCCGTCAACATCATCGGCTCCCAGAGGGCCGTGGCCCACCTGACCGTGCAGCCCAGAGGTACGCGGCGCCGGCCCCTCCGGGGGGACCGACTGCTTTGTGCAGACCTGCTTTCGGGAAAGGCGGGCCTTCGGCAGCCAGCACTCACAGCTCAGGATAGGAGCTGGTGAGGTGAGGGCTTGCGGTCCGCTCTTGAGACCCGGCCCCTCAGGTGGAGGGCGGGCAGCCGGCAGACCATCTCGCCTTCCCTCCGGCCCCTTTGCTCTGTGCAGACTGAGCTGGGAGGCAGAGGGAGGGCCCAGTGCTGGCCGAGAGTGCCCTGGGCCTGCCCTGGCTGAGGACGAGGGGTCTGTGCTCTTAGGAAGCGTTTTGGTACGAATGACGAGTGTCCCGGGTTCTCCTCCTCGGTCAGCTCATTGTCCCTTGCTTTGCAGTCACGCCGGTGTTTGCCAGCATTCCAAGCGACATGACGGTGGAGGTGGGCACCAACGTGCAGCTCCCCTGCAGCTCCCAGGGGGAGCCCGAGCCCGTCATCACCTGGAACAAGGTACCGCCCGTGGGGGGCGGGGCACGGGTGTGGCAGGTGCCAACCGGCTCGTGGCTTCTCCGCACCGTCTGGAGCAGAGAAAGCATCCCCACCACAGCCGGAGTTAAACGATGCTGAGGGATCCCTCCTAACAAAACCAGAAGCAAACAAACCCGCATTCTCTTTTTCACGTTCTTCTCAGTGACAAAGCAACAAAAACCCTCCGGTTAGATCCATGGCCCCATCGTCAATGGAGAGGTTTTTTGTTGTTGTTCCATTTTCCTGGGTTGCTTTTGTGAAGCCCAGTAGAAAATCGCATCCCGGTGTTTAGCCATTATGAACGAGGGTTTTGACAGGACTTGTGTCCCTGGAGGACAGGGTGGCCACGGGCAGGGGGGCCCCCACAGGGAGGTTTGAGTTCCGGGGGACACCCTGGCCCTCTCCCGCGTCCCCCCACTGCCCAGATCTCACCTGCCCTCTGCCGGGACCACGTGTGGCCGTCTCGCTGTCCCGGTGGGCTTGTTCTTGTCCTTCTTCCGCCGGGCCCGTCACCTGCCCTTCTCAGGGGTGGCTCAGGTGTCCTGTCGCCCAGAAGACCTGCCCAGGGCCCTTCTCCGTCATTGGGTGCCCGCACTCTCTGCCTTCCCCACTTTCGTGCACATCCCACGGGGGATTGTTTGCCCCCAGCCCCTGATCCTGGAGAATCCAAGGGACTCGGTCTCTGTCTTAATCTTTTCTGGATCTTTCACAAGAGTTTAAGAAAAGTTCCTCTCAGTAAATTGGACTAAATCCCCTCTTCTCTCCAGTTTTAGATAGATCTGAGCATATCCTCTAGGCCATGTCCATCTGTGAGGTGCTGAGAGTGGTCCCTCCACCCCCAGGTAAAACAACTTCTGCTTCTGGGTCTCGTTCCTAGTATCATTCCTGTTCTGCTTTGCTCCAGGATGGGGTTCAGGTGACGGAAAGTGGGAAATTTCACATTAGCCCCGAGGGGTTCCTGACCATCCACGATGTCGGGACAGCGGACGCAGGCCGCTATGAGTGCGTGGCCCGGAACACCATCGGGCAGGCCTCCGTCAGCATGGTGCTCAGCGTGAGCGGTGAGTCCCTGTGGCCCGTGTGGACATTCCCTGGCGTGGGCTCACAGGCGGGAGGGGGCACCCGGCCTGGGGCACTTGCAGGCCCACCATCTGATTCTCGGAAGGCAGCGCGTCCCTGGTTGGCGGGGGAACACGCCAGGGTCCCGGCACCACACACTCTTGCTGCCGCCCCGGGACTGCAGGCCAGTGTGGTCACGTGCCCTGTGATCAAGGCTCTCCGTGAGCACAGTTTAGTGGTTGGCATGGCCGTCTTCCAAACCCACCCAAATTCGACAGTGTGTAATTGACGGTCCCCATTTGGCAGGCGCGTGTTTGAGCAAGCCAGTGCCCCTCTGCTGTGCTCACTTGCTCCAGATGGGGCCCCCGTCTTCCCGGGATGAGTGTCCTTAATCAGGGGCAGCTCCCTGCCCTGCACCCTGACAACCACGCTGGTCCAGCGTCTGCGTCTGCCCCTCACCTGCCTCCTTCGCCTGTTCTGTCTGCACAGCCATCTTCCTGATTTTAGTATTTGTGCTGCCGAAGCGAGCACACAGCCATCTTCCTGAGAGGGCAGGTCCCGTGACCTGTCGCTGATGCTTCCCACGTGTTGTAGTGTCAGGCTGAAAGCTGCATCCTTAGGGTTGACCCCCACCCGCGTCCCAGGCACGTCCCCTCTACCTTCCCTGTGCCTTCTGGGCGGCCCATCCTGAGTGTCCACACTTGGGCCTGTGCTTCTGCCTTCCCCACCACGGCTCACCCGCCTGCCTTTCCCAGGGGCTTGTGAGAGCCCCAGATGGGGCGGGGTCTGCTTGGTCTGTGCGCCCAGCACCCCCCAGAGCCTGAAGCCGGTAGGCACTTGCCAGATGGGAACCATAAGGGAATAACTGGGAGCCTGGTTTTGGTTTTTTTTTTTTTAGGGAAAATGTTATTTTCCCATTATGTATGGTGTGTGAAATGGATGTAAAACTCAATTTATGAATTCTATAACTTTTTCTTTGAATGACAATTTTTGATACCTAAAAATAATGTTACTTTGATGTGAATTAGTCATATATATGAGATTTAAAAATAATCTCCCACCCACAATCCCACCTCCAAGAAATAATCTCTATTAACGTTTTGGTGAATTTCTTTTATTTCTTCTAAAGATAGGTTAATGCTTTCAAATTATTTTTGTGATCATTGCTTAGAGAACAACAAATCCAAGTCATGCGTAATCATGAAATACTGGAGTCATAAAATTGTGTAAAATTATCTGATCTGTTTGCCTGCCACTTAGCATAAAAGTATTAGGTTCCAAAAATTAGTACATGTGGCCCCGTTTGAGACACACCAAGGTGGGGGTTGTGCCGGGGGAATGGCTGCTGGGCACGTTTCAGACGTGTGGAGGGGCCCGCCTACAGCGGTGAGTGGGCTGGGTCTGCGGAGCGTGAAGGGGTGGCCGCCCCCGGCTCTGTGCAGGGCTGGGCGTCAGGCGCTGTCGGGGGCCCGAGAGGTGAGTCAGGCGGCACCTTCCGGCTCAGTGCAGAGATGCTGGTGGTGGACAGGGACGAGAAGCAGGCCGGAAGAGTGATCCGACCCTGAGAGTCGGGGTTGGGGGAGGCCGTCGGAGAGGCCCACCCCGAGCAAGCAAACTCTGAGACGTAGAGCCGCGTGGCATGGCCAGTGTGAAGCCTGAGGTCGGGACGAGCCGAAAGCCGGAGGCCAGTGGAGGAATCGGGGAGGCCAGGCTGGTCTGGGGCCTTGTTGGCCACGCCATGGTTTGGTTTTTATTCCGCGTATGTTGGAAGCCACTGGAAAGTTCTGAGCAGGGCGTCTGTGAGCTGGCTGCTCTCCTCAACGGTGACGTTGGCCGTAAGGGACGGTGAGTGTGGAGGGGGAGGTGAGGACGGTGGCCGCCAGCATCAGAACCGGTGATGCCACGCTGCAGGTCTGATGGGCTTGCCGACGGCGGACGGGGCCTGGCACTGTGGGCACCATCCGCTGACTGGCAGCCACGCCCGGGCCGCTCTGGCGCGAGGCATCTGGCGGGGAAGGAGCAAGCAGCCAGACGCATAAGTAACGCAGTAACGTAACGGACGACTTCCTGTTTTCCCAGTTCCTGATGTCAGTCGAAATGGGGACCCGTTTGTGGCCACATCGATTGTTGAAGCGATTGCGACCGTGGACAGAGCCATCAACTCGACCCGCACGCACCTGTTTGACAGGTACCGAGGGGGCGGGGGCGGGTGTAGACCTCTGCTCGCTCAGCCTCTGGGGTAGAACAGAGCTGTGACCTGTTTCGTCCAGGGGATAACCTTTTAATTTAAAAATCATAATCAACATTGGCATCAAGTTTTGTGGGGTTTGGACAACAAAAGACACGTCCTTTCTGAGTAGAAGCGGAACCAGGATTCACAAACGAGGCATTTTTAGAAAATCTGAACTCGTTCCATGGGCTTGTTAATGAGTGATTTGGCAAGAACAAAATCTCTCAGGCTGTAGCGTATTTGTTCACGTTGGTAATTCCGAAGTGTTTTATTCTGCATTGTAACTAAAACAGATTGTGTTTCCTCTATTGACTTAATTATTTGTTTTTAGTGTCTTTGTTTTTGTTTGTGTTCGATGCCTTCCGCTTGGGACGAGTGAGGTACGATACATCGTGTCTCTAGAAAAGTAGCTCCAGAACTATTTAGTGGTAATAATTACAGTTTTGGATGTGAGTGATTCTTGTCCTCAAAAGTTGGTTCTGTTCTTCCCTGTGTGCCCCTCAACCCCTGATAGCCGGCCCCGATCTCCCAACGACCTGCTGGCCTTGTTCCGGTACCCGAGGGACCCCTACACCGTGGAGCAGGCGCGCGCCGGGGAGATATTTGAGCGGACCTTGCAGCTCATTCAGGAGCACGTGCAGCACGGCCTGATGGTCGACCTGAACGGAACAAGTCAGTCCCGGGGCCCCCTCCCCTGAGTGCTGGGCCGCACGGCTGTGGGGCCTTCCCGGGAGCCGTTCCCGCATCCCCGTGTCTGAGGGAGCACTCGGTGGGCCAGGCCTGGGCTGCCCCACAGCTACCGCTTCGGGTCCCCTGATGCACAGCTGGACCGTGCGCTGCCCTGAGCCCCAGGCCGGGCGGGTCGGGCCCCGTGACCCGGCAGGCTAGCCGCGAATCCATGAGGCCGTGTGCCTGGGATGCAGGGTTCCGGCTGTTGGGAAGGAGGCTCCTGGTGCTCGGGCATTCGTGAGGCGGCTGCTGAGCCCGCCCTGGTGCTGTGTGGACGGAGGGAGCCTGACGGCCCTCCCGCAGCCTGTCCATGCAGAGCCAGCCGGGCGCAGCGCTCTCAAGGACGCCAGAGGCCCGGGGTTTCTCCTGTGTGGAAGCATCCCTTCAACGGCGAGTGTTCATTTAAAGCGTTGTGGGAGCGCGTGCGCACCGTCCCCTCACTGGGGGTCGGGCTCTGGGCTTTCCACGGGGTTTTCTGACTCGTCTTCGGGGAGTCCATCCTGCCCGCAGGACAGAAATGTCCAAGAACTGAGTGTTCTTAGATACGAACGTGCAGCGTGAAGATGTGGAAACCCGGCCCTCTGCTTCCTGGGAGGAGAGGAAGCGCCCGGGCCGCCCTCAGTCCTGCCCCGGCTTGGGGCTGAGCTTCCCGGCTCTGCCATGTAGACGTGTAGACCGTGGCGCCTCCTCGTCCTCCTGGAGGCACCGGCCTCGGTCGGGGGCCATGTGGACGATTCCACTCCTTGGACCGACCAGCCTGGCCTTGCAGGTGCCCCTGGGGAGAAACGTGGGGGCCCCGCCTTCTCTGCACTCGCCTGTGTTGGGGGCACTTTCCCCCCTTCAGGTCCGGGAATGGGGCAGGGACGTGTGGGACATGTGGCCTTGTCCCTGTGGCGCCTCCCTGTGCTCCCGGCCGTTGGTCGTACAGGACTGCCCGCTGCCGAGTGTGGAGGGTCCGTGGAGTGCACGGTGCTCCTTCTCCCCGCTGTGGCCTCCCTCCGTCGGTTGGTTCAGCGTTCCCGTGTTAAGTGTGGCCGTGGCGGCTTCCACAGGCGGCCCCTAGACCTTGTGCAGCCACCTGCAGAAGCAGAGCCCATCTGCCGTGGTTCTCGTGCAAGACGGCGTGCTCACCTCCTGCAACATGTGCTGTTTACAGAAAAATGTGGAAACCTGGACAGAGAGCAGAAACTAAAGTGACTCAGAGCCCAGCAGAGGGGCGCATGGCTCTGGGCCGTACTGGGGATATTTGCGGGTGAGCAGGCCGCCCACACGGCTGCAGTAGGTGGACACACAGGCAGGGGCGCGAGTGCGGTTTGGGTTCTCGATCTGAAGGGGCTCCTGAGGCAAGAGGATGGACTTGTCTTGGTCTGTGTGATATGGGAGCCATGGGGCTTCTTGTAGACAAGTGATCCGGTCACATGGATCAGGTCATTGGGTGGCCCTGCCACAGAGGGGGAAGGGCAGTGCGGAAAACCAGACAGGTGTCTGTTGGAGGTTCTAGGGTGGCAGGCGTCCACGGGGTGGCCCAGGCGGGTCCGGGGTGGCAGGCGTCCGCGGTGTGGCCCAGGCGGGCCCGGGGTGGCAGGCGTCCGTGGGGTGGCCCAGGGAGGTCCGGGGTGGCAGGCGTCCATGGGGTGGCCCAGGAGAGAGGAAAGTGTTGGCACCAGGGTGGCCGGTGAGAGGTTTGGATTCCAGGTGCCTTGAAGACAGAGGTGACATAGTCACTTGTGGCCTGTATGTGGAGGGGTCAGGTGATGGGGTCTCAACCCCAGGGGCCGGAAGGCCAGAGGTGACACTTAGTGACGTGGGGAAGCTGGTGGAGGATCAGGTTAGGGCCTGGGGAGGGGCTGTCTCACTTCCAGAAGCTCCAGGCGTGCACAGGAGACATTGGTCTCCAGGGGCACCTGGGTCCTGGTTCCACAAACCCCAGTGTCCTAACTCACCCCAGAAGAAAACGTTTGAGCCTCCGCAAACAGTCCTCCTGGCATCTCTCGGGTCATGAAATAGTTTTCTTCCTCATTCTCAGGTTCACGTTTCAGTATTGTCACTGGTAGTTACTTGTTTGCATTCAGAGATAGTTTTCTTTTTTTTTTTTTAAAGATTTTTCTTTATTTATTAGTGAGCGAGAGAGAAACAGCATGAGAAGGGAGAGGGTCAGAGGGAGAAGCAGGCTCCCCGCCGAGCCGGGAGCCCGATGCGGGACTCGATCCCAGGACCCCGGGATCATGACCTGAGCCGAAGGCAGTCGCTCAACCGACTGAGCCACCCAGGTGCCCTCGGAGATAGTTTCCATTTCTAAAGCAAAGCACAGTGGGCAAGGATGGTCAAAAATGGTCAGGGCAGTTTGCAGAATTCCTGGTGAATAGCTCGTAATCCAGAACTTACGTATGCACTGCAGTGATCGGCCCGCCCGGGTTTATAGGAAGGCATGGTTTGGCAGCATTTTATCAGCGATGCTTTAGAAGGCTCCGTCTCTCAGAGCACAGCAAGCACGTCTGAGCTCACAGGCGGCCTTTCGTGTCCAGCCTCTCGCCGCAACCCCTGGAGGGAGGGACAGTGCGGAACCGGGCTTGTCCACGAGCCCCCGACTCCTGGGGCTTCTGAGACTTCCTGAGTTAACAGAACAGAGCCAGACATCCCCGTCTCCCATCCCCGTGTCCGGGAGGTGCTTGCTGACAGAGTTTTCAGGTCTAATTGAGCCCAAACACCCTGGCGGCGCATCCTCTCATGCAGCCCGCCAGCTCCCATTTCTGATTGGGACACTTCCCCGCCTCCAGCTCCGTGGGGGGTTGTTCAGACGCCGCCCCCACAAACTGGAACTGGTTCGGTTCCTTTAAATGTAGGCAGAGTCCATCTTGATCTGCTCTGAGCAGATACTTTGGAAATAAGTAGTGGTGAGCAGGTGCCCAGCACTGCGGGCCGGCACGTGGGCGCGGGGGTGCGTGTGCGAGCCCGTGTGCCCCCGCGTGCCCCTGCGTGTGAGCGGGGGTGCGTGTGCGAGCCCGTGTGCCCCCGCGTGCCCTGCGTGTGAGCGGGGGTGC